GTCATCCTTACCTTTCACAGAGGCACTGAGTTTTATAAACATGAGCATGATAGTATAGAATAATCATATCCAAGGACCAGTGGTGGGTTTCATAAAATTTTGGAACCTCTTTTGTAGGTGTGGCCTGCTTTCTGGGTCCACTGGTGGAACCTCTTCTAACTGGTTCAGTAGATTTGACGAACCGGTTCTACCGAATAGGTGCGAACTGGTAGGAACCCAACTCTGACCTCATGGCTGCTGCTGTGTTGCAATATTTTCGCGGAGGGCATATTTTCAGAGGAGGGTTTATTTTAGCACAGGCGCTCAAAAACCTGATTGGGCTTATCATCCGGGGAGGTCTTATTTTCAGGGAAACAGAGTAGCAAGTGTTAATCTATCCATTTCTGCACAGTCTTAAGATTTTCTTGATCACATTCTCCCCAGACAGGATCTCATCATCTTTCCATTGTTGTGCAAATACAATTCTAGTTGCAGTTAAGATATGCAAGATCAAGTATGTGGCCTTTTTATCGTATGTTTCAGGTAGAATGCCCAACAAAAATATCTCTGGTTTCAAATCTATATGTTGTTTTGTCATTTTTTCCAGCCATGTATGTGTTTTCATCCAATATTTTCCTGCTTTAGAGCATGTCCACCACATATGAACCAGATGCTTGCTTACACTTCCAACAGTTAGCCGATCTATCTTTAAGCATTATTTCCAGTCTTGTCAGTGCGAAGTGCCGTCTATAAAACATTTCATACAAATTTTCCTTGGTTTATTGCTTCCTGAAATCAGTGATGGTCTAAACGCCTTCTCTCTTTGTTTCTCGCCTCTCACAGAAACTCTTGGGCGCCTACGTCTTTCTGGTCTTTGCGGCCCTCCTCGTCCTTTTCGTCTTATTTGTTTACTTGAAAGTGCCAGAAACCAAAAACAAGTCCTTTGAAGAGATTGCAGAAGAATTCCGCCGCCGAGGCAAGAAAGATGCTGGGGGACCTACTGAAATGGAGCATTTGGGAGCCGCCGAAGAGGCTTAGAAACATCGTTGCAGCAGAAAGGCATGGAGTTAACCCAGTAGAAACTCTGGAGAAACAGGTTTAAAGAAATATAAATGTGTGGAAGGTTAAATCTATTCTCTGGCTACTAGTGGATGTTTTTTTTGCAGAGCAGTCTCTTCATTTCTCGGTTCCCTCAGGAACATGTTGCGTTATGGAGTCTCACAAGCCTTATGCGAAAGAGGCTAAGGAAGAAACTCCAGGGGAGGACTATCGATTCAATGGGGAACCTATATAACCGGCGATCCATTGTACAAGTATTCCTCGACTTACAACCAAACTGAGCCCCAAATTTCCACTGCTAAGCAAGATGGTTGTTAAGTGAGTCTTAACCCATTTTATGACCTTTCTTGCCACAGTGGTTCAGTTGAATCACTGCCCTCATTAAGTTAGTAACACAGCTGTAAAGCGAATCTGACTTCGTTGATTTTGCTTGGCAGATGGTCGCAAAAGGGAATCACCTGACACACACACACACAGCCCAGGACACTGCAACTGCCATAAATATGAACCAGTTGCCAAGCACCAGATCACGTAACTATGGGGATGCTGCCATGGTCAGAAGTGTGAAAAACGGCCATAAGCCAATAAATGAATTATTGTAAATCGAGGACTATCTGTATTCTGTGGGATACAAGAGCGGTGCTCGGGCAAAGAAAAAAAAAGGCACAGAACAGAAGCTGTTGATGCTCAAAAAGGATACATGGATGTATGCCTAGATATAAATTCCAAGAAGAAGGTGTTTTGTCAGTCAGCCAAATCCACTGCATAAATATTGGTTTGCTTCCCCAATTACCATGTCCCCCTGAAAATATGACCTACCCCCAAAAGTAAGTCCTAGCTTGATTTTTGCATGTCTGCCCCATATAAGCCCTACCCCTAAAATAAGCCCTAATTATTCTGGGGTGCAATGTTCCCTCTAATTTTTTTTCAGTTTGTATGGAAAAGTATAGTGTTCGACCGCCACATTTTCATGCCTGAGAACCTGATTTTTTTTTAGCCATAATTGCCATCAGAGCAGATGTTGGGAGGGGGCAAGGAGGAAAAGGGTCCCCTCCCTCTCCCTCAGACCCTCAGGAAGGAAGGGAAGGGAGAGGGAGGAAAGGAAATGGAAAAGAAGAAAAGGAAAGGAAAAAGGAAAGGAAATGGAAAAGAATGAAAGGAAAAAGGAAAGGAAATGGGAAAGAAGAAAGGAAGGGAAAAGAGAAAGGAAAGGAAAAAGGAAAGGAAAAGAGAAAGGAAAGGAAAAAGGAAAGGAAATAGAAAAGAAGGAAAGGAAAAGAGAAAGGAAAGGAAAAGAAAAGGAAAGGAAGATAGAAGAAGGACAGAAAGGGAAAGGAAAGAGTGGAATGGATTGGTACTGCTCAAAAATCAAATCTCAAGATCCCGTGGAGCCCTTTGGCTCAGGCAGTCCAACTCCACGCTGCTTCCCTCTCTCCCCAAAGCGAAGGGATCACAGAAAAACTGCTGAGCCCAATTCGGGGCTTCAGAGGATGCAATGCCTGAGAGACCCCGGATGTGCAGAGAAATGCAGGCTACAACCAGCGAATCCCATTTTCCCAGGAACTGACGAAGCCCCAGAGGACCAATGGGAATTCTCCCTTCTGCGGCGTCATTGGTCTCCGGACAAAGTCTTCCTTGATTTCACCAATCACCAGATGGAGGAGAGAGTTCGGTGCAGAGAGAGAAGGAAGGGAGGGGGGATATTTTTAGTCACATTTAAAGACATAAAAAAACCTGCATTGCAGTTTGAAACCTGTGCGCAGTGTTTTCTTGTTACCTGCGCGGCTGCGCAGGTGCGTAGCTTAGAGGGAACATTGGTGCAGAGGGTGGAGTGAGGCACACAGGTAAAAATTAAGCTAGGATGGAGATTGGGGATAGAAGTGCCCTACTTACTAGGCCTCGCAGACCCCGATATCTGCTTCACCTTGCAGGCCCAATTCTTCTGTGGCTGCTTACATGAGTATGTTGCCCCCGGTCTCCGTTTCACTGTCAGAGGCCTTCCGGAAAGTCCTCTGCAGCCAAGAAATGAGTTCTAGATTGACGCACGCATCACGCCTGGCCTCTGTTTCACCGTCAGAGATTTCCAGAAAGCCCTCTGCAGTCAGTAAGTTTTATCAGCTACAGAGAACTTTTTGGAAGGCCTCCGAAAGGAAAACAGAAACTGGGGGCACCACGTCCATCAATCCGGAGCCTGTTTCTCAGCTGCAGAGGGCTTTCTAGAAGCCTCTAAAGGCAAAACAGAGGTTGGGGCGATGCATGTGAGCGGTGGCAAGCAGCTACAGAAGTAGGCCTGCGGCGTGCTCCTGCTGGGCAGAGCTGTTGGTGCCATCGCTGCGAGGTGAGTCAGTAATTAGCCCCCCCGAAAAGTATCCCTAGCTATTTTTTCAATAGTCAAAAGAAAATAAGACCTGGAAATAAGACTAGGTCTTATTTTCGGGGAAACACTGGAAATTTAAAGAAAAATTTAAGCAAACATTTATTTTTCTTTTCGGTTGACGTGAAGTTGCTCTGGTCTTTGAAAAGTGAAATGCCAGCAGGTCATCATATTCTGCCTCTGACACATCTTGAGGTCCAATTGCTGCCAGAGTGATAGTAGTTTGGGAGGGCAAATATCGAACGAAGGAAGGAAGCAACTGGGTCAAAATAGGAAGCTTGCAAAATCAGACGATGTATTTGCAGCAGTTGTATTCCTCCTTTTAAAAAAATCAAATATACTTTGGAGATTAGCAGATCGCTCATCAGTCTTCACCTCCTCTGTTGGTAGCGTTGGGTACTTCCAGCTGGAAGGCTGCTTATTAAAAAGCATTTTGTGATTATTTCATACTTTTCCCCTTAACCATTTTGTCCTAAAAAAAAGAAAAGAAAAGAAAACAGATGGAAGTAGATGGAAAGGACCATTTTGTCTTTTGTTTTTTATTGAAAATTTTGAAAAAAAAACTTTTACAAATATTTACCTTCATCAACTTTAAAAAAAGTTAGTATCATCTTTCATTGAGCTTTAACTCCTCTTTGCTAGGCTAGCTGTCAAAAAGTTGATGGATACTGTTTAGACAGCTTAATGCAGCCAAGGATCCAGAGCTGTTAAAAACAACAACCCCCTCAGGCCCCGCCCAAACCAGAAGCCAGAAAGGACCATTTTGTTGCTGCTGCTGCTGCAATTCTCTTAAATTTGGAAAGAGTACCCAGCCTGGATCTTTTGCAAAATTCTATGAAAAAAAATCAGGGCATGATGGATCTGCCGTGCACCAACACTGCTTTGCACATTTCATTTCATGCAACATTTTTTTTCTTAATTAGAATCTTCTGCCTGTTTCTGCTGACACAAGTCCTTCTTCCTCCTTAGCATTCCTCCTTGGCATCCTCGGGGGTCCAATGTTGCTTTCAGTAAATACAGATAGTCCTCAACTTACGACTGCAACTTACAACTGCCCAAAATTTACGTTGCTGAGTGAGACATTTGTTCAGTGAGCTTTGCCCCATTTTGTGACTTTTCTTGCCACAGTTGTTAAGCGAATCACTGCAGTTGTTTGTAGCACGGGAGTTTAGTGAAAGTCAGCTTCCCGACTGACTTTGCTCGTCAGGTCACACAAAAGGTGATTGCGTGACTCGAGGACACTGCGGCTATCATAATTATGAGTCAGTTGCCAAGGGTTTGAATTTTGATCACGTAACCAAGGGGATGCTGCAAGGGTCCTAATTGTGAAAAACTTTCTTTTCAGTCATCCTGTAGTCGTTTCAGCAGTTCCAAGAAGAGTCTCTCCCCCCCCACGCCCCCCATTTGCATTCTGATATAGGTGAGCTGTAGCGAACATCCAAATGGCCTCAAGAACATTCAGGGATTTGACAAAAGCCCCTCTGAGACAATTATGATCTCCTTTTACTTCTTGTGTCATAATATCCATCATTGGACATTGGACATCATGTTGGCGATCCTTATTATGACCTAGATGAGTGCAAATCTCCACAGTGTTATGCACGTTTGAGAGCCTGCCCCGAAGATTTAAATCTTCGTGCATTGTCATTGCCATGAATCCCAATCTTTCAATCGAGATTTTCAAAGGACTAGAGTTCTTTTCTCTATTTGAAAGGCAAGAAGTTTACTATTTTATTCCCACCCCCCTTTCCCCACCTCCAGGCCAGCAAAATGTTTGGAAAGAAAGAGGACCTGGGTATGTCCAATTCCTGTGTCTGGACTCTAATTCAGAGCATGCACTAATTTTGAAACTGAACAGATTAAACAAACATTGCTCAGTGTTATCTTTAAGCCAATGTTGTCACATACAAAAAGAAGAAAAAGAAGAAGAAGCTTGACTTATCTTATGATATCTCCCTGTGGAAAATACAGTGCCTACCAACAATTAACACCAACCTAGTAAATATTGGGATGTGGTGGCTCAGTGGCTAAGATGCTGAGCTTGTCGATCAGAAAGGTCGGCAGTTCAGCGGTTCGAATCCCTAGTGCCAGGTAATGGAGTGAGCTCCCGTTACTTGTCCCAACTGCCAACCTAGCAGTTCAAAAGCATGTAAAAAGGCAAGAAGAAAAATAAGAACCACCTTTGGTGGGAAGGTAACAGCATTCCTTGAGCCTTCGGCATGCCAGCCACATGACCCCAGAGACATCTTCGGACAGAGCTGGCTCTTTGGCTTTGAAACGGAGATGAGCACCGCCCCATAAAGTCAGGAACGACTAGCAAGCAGGTGCGAGGGGAACCTTTAGTAAATATTGCCACAGAGTAGACTGTCTTACCCTGGCAGTTTATTTCTTTTTTATTAACAAACATGTAAAATACACACACACAAAACTTAGACGTACACCACATTTACACAATACAATACAAACAAGAGCTCCCTGTTCTTTCTAATAACAATTATCAATCGATACCGCTCACCTTATATTATTTCCCCTTCTATTGTATTTCATTTGGATTTAACCATATGATTCCATTTGATGTGGCATATCAAGTTGATTTAACACTTTGATTCAAACATATTTGATTCAGATCATATTGATCAT